CCCGTGGCCTCCACCACCTGTCCGAAGGCCCCGGAGCCTAGAGTGCGTCCTAGGATGAACAGAAACCCTTAGCTCCCGGGAACTAGAAGCCTCGCCTCATCTTCCCACTCAGAATGGAGGACTATTCTCTCAGGTCATAGTCCACATCCCCCCTACCACCCCACTGTGCTCCCCCTCAGGAAGCTCCCATCCTTTGAGTCTCATCTAGCTCCTGCCTGCTGTCTGCCTTCCTGGAGTCCCTGGAAGACCTCTTGTCTCCTCAGGGAATCACAACTCCTCCACACCTGCCTCAGACTCCCCAGACTATCTCCAGTACTTCCTCTTTGGCCTGGAGGGATCCCATAGATCAGTCTTGGGTTCCTGTGGCTTCCATGCTATCAGGGATCATCTTGTCTTCACCATATAGAAAGGATGCTGAAAGCCTGTGAAGGCAAGATATCAGCTCTGGCTGGGACTCAGCTAGTAGCAACCATGCTGGGAACAGATCTCAGGGTCCTCACTGGCACCGAAGACCTCTTAGGACTGACCGAGCACAAGCTGGTCCCGTGGCAGCTCCCAGGTTGAGTCATAAGGCAACTGCACAGGGTCCACGTAGATGTACTCATGACCATCAGAACTCACAGACTCAATCACCTTCCATCGGATCTCATAGCGTGGTTTCTGCAGGACAAGACCATGACCTCAGAGGCAGCTGGCACTAAGGGGCCTCAGCAGGTGGAAGGTGTGGCTGAGAAACTCTGAGGACAAAGCCTCGGGAGAACAGCTGTCAGGGTGGTCCTCACTCACTGGAACTGCTTCATCAGCTTCTCTCTGGCCCCAGTTACTCCTCAGATGGGAAGGGCAGGTTACCCAGGAAATGACAACGTACGGTAGGAAAGATGTCAAATGTGGTGGCCCCTCCCCATGTCGAGTCTGACTCTGTGGGGTCTCAAAGGGAGGTGGCCTTTGGATGTGGAAATCTTAGGATGCAGGAGTCACAGGACTGGAATCTTATAATGACAGGATGAAGGGGTGGGCACTAAAGTCCCAATTCAGAAATTGTAAGCATTTGAAGCTACAGAGTGGGAAAATGTCAGAATAGAACATTGAAACTTTAGATTTGTGGGGTCAGATTGCGTTCCAGTGACTCATGGGAGTCTGTGGATAAGAGCTGGAAGAATCATGGGGCCAGGATAGTCCACCCACAAAGTACCATTTGTCTCACGACTGGGTTGAACAGGAAGGACCTAGGCAGAGGAAAGAACAGGGGCCAGGAGTCCTGGACTACTGGCACCAGGCCCAGGTCAGCCAAGCCTGCTGTGGATGGAGGGAGATGGGGACCCAGTGTTGCTCTAAGTCAGCTCCCAAGTGAGCTCCACGTCGGGCCCTTCAGATATGCCAGATTGTGTGCTCTTCAGTGGAGACCACGAGGAAATATGGGTGCTACTTTGCACCTATAGGCTACAGGTGCTTACCTTCTGCCACAGCATGATAAGGATGATGAGAGAGATGACGGTGAGGACCACCAAGGCCAGGATGGCTGAGATCACCACCACTTTGAAGGGCAGGGCTGAACACAGAGCAAAGAACAGCCATAAGCAAACAGTGACTGGCAGCTGCTCTCCCCATCTCATTGTGGGCATCACAGATCCATTGGACTTGTTCCGCCTACACATAAGCCCTTATTGCCTAGATAGCTGGCCTCAGGGCCCACACTCTGGCCTTACCGGCAAGCCCCAGAGCCTCTCAATGACTCCCTGCTCAGATCTCAGCTGGGCTCAGGCTGGCCTCTGCATCATCCTGCCAGGCTATGAAAACCCTCTTCTTGTTCCTGAGCATTGCCCGTGCCTCTCACAGCATTCAGCACCCTGAGGACCAGGCCATGCCCTCCTCTCTTCCAAGCCCTGTTGGGCTGTTATGCCTGGGTCATAGATTTAAGTGCCATGTCTAACAAAATGGCCGAGGCAGTCACTCAGCCAGCCCTGGGGCAGAGAGACTGAGCACAGACATGGAGAAAGGCTTCTGTTCCTCCAGCCTGACCTTGAGGACCAGCTGGTGTGTCTGGTGGGGCAGTCATAGAGGGCACTGCCCAGGGCACTGAGGTGAACATGCAGGTCTCCCTGGGCTCCCTGAGCCCTGAGTCTTCTCTGGCCCAAGGCTCCAGCCTCCCTGCTACCCAGTCAGTCTGGATGAAGCCCCAGCCCCTGTCCTTCCCCGATTAGCAATAGCTGCTGTCTTCTGGGAACTTTCGTCTTCCTCCTATGTCCTCTTCCTGCCCTCCTCTGTTCCCCAGGGAGTCTTCCTCTGGCTTACTCCACATTCTTTCCTTCTTAGGGTCACTGACTGACATCTTTGTCCTCTCTTCACAACAGCCCCCACATCCTGGTCTTGCAAAGGGAGCCTGCACCCTCCAGGGACCCATCAGAGTCATCCCAGGTCTCTGTGTAATAGTACATGGTGTCCTGACCAGATGTCACACAATGACTTTCATTCTGCCTTTACTCAGGCCCAGAATGGGTCTCTATATGGCAGGCTGTGCACATTTTGTTGTGCCCACTTGCTCAGGGATATGTGTGCCTATAAGAGAGTGTGGGAGAAATGAGGGCATTTTATTTTAGATATTTATTTTATTTTTATGTATGTGTTTATGTGTGCAACTGTATTCCTGAATGCCATGTGTGGATGCTGATGGAAGACAGAAGAAAGCATTAAATCCATGGGATTTGGAGCTACAGGTGATCGTGAGCCCCCTGACATGGGTGCTGGGAATGGAACGCAGGTCCTTTGGAAGAGAAGCAAGCTCACTTAAGCTCTGAGGCGTCTCTCCAGCCCCAGTAAGGATATTTAAAAAGCTCACTCATCTTCTAAGGGCAGGTGACAGGTATGTACATAGACAAACATGTACAAGGCTGTGTGGGGCAGCCTGTGTGTATGAGTGTGTGTGTGTGTGTGTGTGTGTGTGTGTGTGTGTCTGTGTATGTACAAAATGTCTTTTGAAGCTCTGATTTCTCTGACTTCTGTATCCTATAGCCCCACTCCTTACCACTTCCTTCCCTATTACTCCCCCACCCCGCCCCAAATCCACATAGTTTGCTTCCAGACAGTTTGGTTTCCTTGAACTTCTCAGAACCCACTCCACCTCTAGGCTTTGGCACAGGCCTCCTTGGCTGCGACACCATGCCTTCACAGGCTAACACCTGGTCATCTTTCGGTATTTGATGTAAAACTTCTTTTTCCTGGGATATTTCCTCAATCCCAAGGTTAGCACAGGGCTCCTTCTGTCTCAGGGCTGCTCCCTGGAAGTAGTGTTCCAGTGTAGGCTGGCTCACTCCTCGTCTGCCTCCTCCCTCTGGACTGACCCACTGGCCTCTGTACCCTAGTGAGTTTGGGTCCCCATAACTTACTGAATAGGAAATAGGTGGATGATGAAGCATGCATACATGTGAAGGCATGGGTAAGTGGGAGATATGTACACACATCTGGACTCTGGCAAGCACTGTTCATATGTTGCACAATAACTGTACATATATGTGCAGCTGCTAATGTTTGTACATTGTCTGGAGGCGTATGTGTACAGAGTTGTGCTCAGTGCTTTTTTGTTTTTATATGTTGCAATTGTGTGAGTACAAATATGAACCATGCCAATGTTCACATTTGCACAGGAACTGTGCATGCATGATTTATGCACATGTAGGGGGTTTGTGCTCCCCACCTGTACATGCATACAGACATTCATTTTGTAGATTTACATGCAAGTCTTGGGTTTGGGCAGGCTTATACACACAGCTCACAAAAATATATCCTGCAGTTTTATATACATGGACAGCGTTGTGCATGCTTGAGCACATGCTAACACGAGTGTACTCAGGGGATTAGGCATCCTCAGCACAGATTGCATGTGCACATGAAGAGTGTACACCCGAGTCCCAAGATCAGCCTACTCATGTTCAGAGTTTACAGCATGCATCATGCATAACAGTTCATTTTCCACACTTGAGTCAATGCTTTTCATGTTTGTGCACTGGTGTCCACATCATATATTGTGTATGTGCATAAGGACATACTCTGGTGGGTTTTGTAATGTTTATGTAGGCTTGTGAGCATGCTCACTTGATCCATTTTGGGCATGCAGGCACGGTAAAGCAGGATCAAGGAAGGAGTGAGAGGTCATCAGAGCCACCCAAGGCTGGGGCACTCACAATGTGGTACCACGGTGACCTCCTGCGAATCTCTGCCCATTGAGTTCTGCAGCATACAGCGTACTGACAATGGCTGATCCACATGACGCAGGCGCAGTGTGCTCACCACCTCATATTCCTGTTCTTCTTCCCAGAAAGTCACATTAGTCTCTAGCTGGTTCTCCTCCTTGGAACTGTTCCCCAAGGGTGTGGGTGACAGCTTTCGTGGACACCTGCCAGGAGACACAAGGAGATTGGCGTACAGTCTCGCTTAGTTCTCCCTCTGCATTTGGGGAAACTAAGTCTTAATTTCTATGACTGCTTGGTCCTTAAGTAGGTTCCTACTGTGTTGTCTAGAAGGACCAGCAGGGGGAGCTCCTACTCCAGAACTGAGACTCCTCAATGGCAAAATTCACTCATTTGACCCTCAGTGTGTCAGGCAAACCCTGAACTCTATCTACTACACTCAACTCTGGTCAGAGATATAGAACAACTACTGGATGAATTAGACCCCTCTGGGGGCCAAACCCTGCACCTTCCTGGGTTGAGGATGGCTCAGGGTCAGGGTAAGAAAAGGAGCAATTTAGGTTATGCATGGTATCTTCAGGAAGGCAGAGGACTGATCTAAGATGTGGCCTGGGCCTCTCAGCGGGGAGAGGTTGATCTAGGTTAGCCTACACTGGGTCATTCTAGGCAGCTGTGGGTACTCTGGGAGGCTGGAGCTCAGGTGTGCTCACCTTTTGAGGTCTCGGCAAGTAGACCACGTGACATTTGGCTGAGGCATGCCCCGACCACGACAGCGGATTGTCTGCTCCCCATTGGCAGGGTGGCTCTCACTCAGCTCCAGCACACGGACAGGGACTGAACAGAGTACAGGGCAAGGAAGTGGGGTGGTAGGAAAAGACCTCAGGGGAACATGTTCCAGAGTCCCCCCACTCCCCAACCCCTAGGCAAGGGACTACAGGGGAGCATCAGACACCAGGAGTCACAGTGTGAAAAATGACAGGTTCCTCTCAGTACTTCGAAGGGCAGGGCTCAGAGCCTGTCTTTAACATCACTCTGAGACTGTCTTTTCCCTTAACAAAGAGAGAAGAGGCCTGGAGCCCAGGGTCCTGGGCAGCCAGGTTCATAAGGCTAGACTTTGACAGCGTTGTTTTGTTTTCTCTGAATTTATTTTAGTGGTTGTTTTATATTTATGGCATATGACACTGAGTTTCCATCTACAACGAGATGCTAAATTTTGTCTTTCAAAACAGACTTATTTTTAGAAAGCTAATTGACAAAGCATTAAGTCTTTATCATGTCATTTCTATGCTCAAGTCCCTGTCATGGCTCTTCATTTCAGTCACAATGGAAGCCAAAGCTGTACTAAGCCCACAAAGCACTCACCCAACTATCCCCTCCATCCTTCCTCCATTTCTGCCCTGACCTCATGACCCACCCTCCATATATGCCAGCACCCTCTGTTCTGGTCACACCCGCCTTCCTGCTATTTCTCTGGCAATGTGACAAGGGGAGACGCATGATCTGGAGTGCCCTTCTCCAAATATCTACTTGTCTAATGTCCTCTGCTTCTTCGAGTCTTCTCACAATTGTCACCTCCAGAATGAGGCCAACCCTTATCACCATACTGAAAACTACAACCCTTACCACCTGCTATGCCAGGCTCTTTCCTGTGTGTGTGTGTGTGTGTGTGTGTGTGTGTGTGTGTGTTGTCTCTCCCTCCTTCCCCATCCCCTACAGTTACTTGTTGTCTTCTAACCTTTTTTGGTTTTTCTGGGAATTCCTCCTTTGCTATTTGTCTTCCCCCACTAGGATGCAAACTATAAAAGGTAGAACTCTGAACAGGCTGCCACATTGAAATTACCCAGCAAAGTATGGATTGTACAGGAGAATTACAATTGTGTTGTTGGTGAATAAATGGCTCAGATTTGGGGGAACACTGATACAATCTGATGGTCACCCTTTGCAGCTGGGGAGACTGAGGCCCAGAGAGGGTACACACCAGATCAGCTGTCTGGAATGCAGCCTCCTTGGTGACTGAATGGGGAGCGAGGGAGGGAAAGGAGGAGGAGAGAGCAGGAAAGGAAGGTGAAGCTTTACCATTGACCTGCAGCCTGAAGGAGAGCTGGGCCTCTGCATCCTCATGGAAGGCCCGCATGGTGTAGTAGCCAGCTTCTGCCACCTTCACACGCACCAAGGTCAGTTCTGACACGTACCTATGGAGTAGGTCAGGCCAGGGACTTCAGTCAGAACTGCAGCAACCCCTAAAGCATCCTCACCTTCCTATGGTATGCTGAGGAAAGGGATACACTTGCCAAGGTCATGTAGGTGATTACAGCAGAGCCATGATTCACACCCAGTGTCCTGAATCCCCACCCACAGGCTGTTCCACTAAGCTAAGAGGAAGGCTTGGGAAGGACCAGTGTATCCCTCTCCACAGCTCATCACCTTCTGAGGGGCACAGTCTTGTCACTCTGCTGATCTCTAGCCTCAGGGATGCCCGCTTTCCATCCAGTCTTTTTGCTTTTGGCTGTCACCTGACAGCTCTACTTATCACAAAGATAACTGAAAACCTTTAAGTGGCCAACCCATCAGTGTCTGCTTCCCCCTCCAGGAGGGGCAGAGTGGCTTGCTCTGGTCCTGCAGCATCCCTGGCAGCTGGCGTGTGCCTAGCACACAGCACTCTCAGACAAAGAGGACCTAGGTTTGTTGGAGTCTGAAAGCCCTGAGATGCCTGGCAATTTTGAAGTTTCCAAAACAGGTGGACTATCTGGTGCTCACCGGGTCTCAGACACATTTCGAGTAGACAGAACCATCTCGCCGGCACTGGAGTCACCCAAGGTATGGTTGTCCTTGAGCCACAGGACAGTTGGTGGCGGATAAGCCTCGAACACCACCTGCAACGTCCGGCTCCGGTGCAACTCAGCGATTTGTACATCACCAAGTGTTCCTAGCAGTCTCACATAGCCATTCTCTGTAAAGGTAGACAACAGTCAAGGGAGGGCCCTGTGGGCGGGGCTATGCCAGACACCAATGAGGGTGTGGGTCGTGTTGTGGAGTGTTCCTGGAGGCCCGTACCAACTAAAGGCCAGAGAAGCACCTTCTAGGAGCAGGGCTTATTCAGGCAGCAGAGCAGGAGTTCAAGCTTGGACTGGAACTGAAGCAGGGGTAGAATTTGGTGCTGGTGGTATTGGGGTCGGTGCTGAGGTTGGGAGTGGAATTGAAGCTTTTTGTTCTGGCTCTATATTACACACAGGGTACACTGGAACTTCAGTAGTACAGAGGTTGACTTTGACAATGGGGCTGCCAAGGCCTGCACTGAGGGGTTGACAATGAACTAGGTGTCTGGCTAGGTAGGAAGTCTAGGTTGGACTTAGAGTTAAGTCTGGGGCTGATGCTACACTTTGAGCCTAATACTGACACAGACCCCAGAGTCTGTGCCACAGGGTGGGGTAGAGGGTTGAATCCCAGGCACCCACCAATCACAGTGATGTTGATGGCCTTTTCATCTCCATGGTCATTCACGCTCACCGACACATTGCAAGTATAGGTCCCCGAGTCACTCAGCTCAGCAGTGGGGATGTACAGGATGGAGCCAATTCGGGAGGACACCCCAAATAGGTAGTCTGTCACCGGCTCCACCAGCCGCCCACTCTGCAAGGACAAGTCCCCAAATCAGAAGCTAGTGCGAGATGAGATGTCTATCCTGCCTTCCAAGCCTTGCCCAGCAGTACCTTCATGCGGGGGTATGTCCACTGGAAGTTGACCACATCATTTCCCATTACAATACACTGGATGGTGATGCTCTCACCCTGGCGGACCACTGTCTGTACTGCATTCACAGAGACATTGATGGATGACACTGGAGTGGGGCGAGAAGATTGGATTAGGACCAAGGAGGTCATCACCAGCCACCAGCACTAGGCTTGGGGAATGGGAGCAGGTTGGCTATTGTGAAAGAGTCATTCACTGGGTCTATGAATAATAATTAGATACTATACAAGCATTGTTCTAGACACTGTGGCTAGAGGAGTGAACATCACAGACAGAATGTCTTTCTTCATGGAGCTGACCATGGGATAGCCATCTTGGAAGCCACAATTCTCTGGGAATCTAAGTGCAGAGACATTTACCAAGCACTTACTACATGCTGGGCATCTCTTTTATTTTACCTTCCCCAAAATCTGTGAGGAAGGCAGTCATCGCCACCTTCATCTTATGGGAGGTGAGGGCATCCGGTTCTCAGGTACCAGGTATTTTGTGCAGAGTGGTCTAAATGGGAAGTGGCCAAGCTGGGATCCAAACCCAGCTGGTTCCAAGCCTGTGCCTTTGTCCCCACCTTACAAAGCCCAGACCAGCCCTTAGTGAACTATGACTGTGGACCAACTCCATCGTTTCTCTGAGCCTCAGTTTCCTTGGGTTAAAAAGGGAGAGAACATTAACTAGCTCCCTCCCAAAACTATAGGAGAATTGAGTGAGATATGAGGCTGTGTACTTAGTAAACTGGGGGGGGGGCTGTTTCCTCCGTAAAGGGCCAGAAAGGGGGCTCACCCTGGAGGCTGTAGATATAGAAGGTATCAGAGTCCACTTCCCTGTCCCCAATGATGGTTTTGCAGATGTAAGTCTTGTCCTCAAAAGTGCCAATGAAACCACGCTGGTGGTCATAGGGTACGTGTAGAGGGATATCCACTTTCTTCTCATGCAGCGTCACCTCCAGCTGGGGGTCTGTCACTCGGCATGGAATTGTCGTCTCAGTCACATCCGTAACAAAGATGAATAGATCCTCAGAGTCCATGGGGAGGAAGCCCATGGTGGGGTCTGTCAGGAGCAGAGTCAAGGAATGAATGTCCTGGTTAGTGATTTGCCAACTTGACATAAGCTAGAGTCACCTGGAAAGAAGGAACCTCAGTTGAGAGAATGTCTCCATCACATTATCTGTGGGCCTTTCTCTTGATTAACGATTGATATGGGAAGGTGCCCCTCTGTGGGTGGTGCCCCTCCTGGGTGTATAAGAAAGCAGGCTGAGCAAGCCATGAGGAACAAGCTAGTAAGCAGCACTCCTCCATGGTTTCTGCTTCAGTCCCTGCCTCCATTTTGTTCATTATAGTCTCAGGTCTTTGGTTACAGTAGCACAAGGGGACTAAGGACAACGGTCTCAAGGGTGGTTTTCTGCTCTTCATTTAATGTTGACAGTACTGGAGTTGTTGTGAGGGGGTGAAAAGTCAGAAACTAAAGAGTAGCTGCACCTGGAGCTCAGAGAACAGGGCAGTGGGATATGGGGGCCAAAAGGAACAAACTGGGACCGGCTGAGAATGCAGAATTCTTGGGAGGTAAAAGTGAAAGGCGACCAGGAGAGAGCAGACCACGGGTGGAATGATCGGGCTCTTGGACTGAGCCAGGCTGGATGCTGCTCTTTGCCTGTGTCACATAGCTGCATCTTGTGGTGTCCATGAGGCCGGCTTCAAGCTTCCCTTTGTACTATGTGCTGTGGAGACGAGGGTGAGGGAGTAGGCACACAGCTAGTGTCCTTACCTGGCACGAAGATATAGATGCGTTTCCGCTCACTGAGCTCTGGCCCTAGGGAGTTGTTGTAGGCACAAAAGTATTCTCCAGTGTCTCCCCCTGTGACATTAGTCAGTGTCAGCACACTGGAGAAGGTGCCATCCTGATTCATGGATGCTTCTTGCCAGGACATCTGGGACATCTGTTCCCATATCACTGGAGCTGAACCCGAGCAGGTCAGAACAAAGGTGCTGGAGATGTTGAGGATGAACTCTGGCCCAGGAGGCATGATGACTAGGCCTTGGCAGGTCTGTGGTCCCAGCAGCAACAGCAGGAACAACAATAATTGGCCTTTGGGGCAGGAAGGGTCACATGTCAGGGCAAAGAGAATATGGCCCCTTCCCCAGAGCTGTCCTGGAGGCCTGTCTGCGTAGCTCCTAAGTCCTTAAAGAGCACATCTTCCCGTTCAACACAGGCTGTTAGACCACTGTCAAGCCTCCAAAGGCTCCTGTCCTAGGTCCCTGCCTCATTTGACTCCGGACTCTAAGCTCTTGAGCAATGCTATATGTAGGCAGCAAGCAGGAAAAGGGGGCAGGAAATCCTGTGGAAGCAATCCCCAGGCCTCCAGTTCCTGCATTGCCGTCCAGGTCACTCCCTAGGTCTCTGCTCGGTAGCTGTTCAATGAGATGTTGAGGCCCCTGGAGCTTGAAGGATGGTGTGGGGTGGGGGGTTAAGATACGTATGTCAGATGATTGGTGACTTCCCCCATGACATCCCCTGAGGGAAGCCTGGGAGAAGCAGCTATGTAGCACTATACATCAGTGTTCACGGGGAGGGTTTTTAAAACCATACCCTCACATTCCCTGGTGATGAAAATAAGGACAGGTGCAGCCAGTCAGGAGGGCCATCACTGATTGCCTGGGTATTTGCCCAGACCTTGTAGAGCTTACAGCAGCTATCCAACTGGGCTGAAGACGGATGGGAGCCTGGGGTGTCTCAGAGGGGGCTGTGGGTGCAGAGGGATAAAAAAGGAACTGGTGGTGCTGGACAGGAAGGGGCAGGGGGGGATCTACTGAGTGGATCTACAAAGAGCTAGTAGGTGGGTAGTTGCAGGAGTCCTCCACAGACCACCTCCAAATACAGGGAAACTGAGGCTCAAACGTACTGTGGAGCTTCCAGATTCTTGGTAGCCTTAGTGCTACCAAGCATTACCACCACCAACTCCCTAGGCCATCCCTGGGGCCCTCATCCTTATGGCCAGCCTACTTACCTTTGAGGACTGAAGCTGACATCATACCTGGAAGCCCCATTGTGTCCTGCAAAATTAAACAGAGATCAGAGCCCAGTGTGGCAAAGGCAGTGCCAGGCCCACCATAGATAGACCTGGTTCCTGCTGAGTTAGTTCTGCTTGGGTATCCAACGTCACGTCTCAAGGCTGAGAAGACATCCAGGTCCCCAAGCCTCTCCTGTTTCCAACTGTCATGTGGCCTTGGCTGAGTCCTATGCCTATGGACCTTAGTTTCCCTGGGGGTGGAGAAATTGGGCTAGCTAGGAGACTGCCAGCTCTGACAGCCTGTCCTCTGGGTGACAGTTCCAATACCAGGCACTTATCTGCCAGTACAAATATTTGGGAAAGTGTGATGAAAGGCCTGGAAGAGTGGGAGGGGGTGAGCCAGAGCCTGGAGAACTCCCACAGCTCCCTCCACAAGCACAACAGGAAATGGGAGTCTGTGGGAGGGGAAGTGGGGAGGGGGAGGGGGTCAGGACTATGGAATGTGGGAGTGAGTGGGCTGGCCCCCCCACTCAGCACAGAGCTACACAGAAGACCCAGGAGAGAGGAACCAGGTTCTCAGCCCCATTCAATTTATCAGGTTTTGAAGGTCCTTGGAGAGCACTGAAGCCAACCCTTCAACGTCCATATGGGGAAACTGAGGCTCTGAGGATCGAAGATTTACCCAAGGTTCCTAACAGAGGCTGTTTGAGAGGGAAACAGAGAGCTGAATGGTGGGAGCGGAGGAAGACAGAGAGGAGGTTTGAGAAACAGGGTGCAGACAGACACACTGTAACGGGTGAGTCCTTGATTGGTCCTTCCCTTCACCAGCAAACAATCACCAATAGCGACGACGTGTAGTCAGAGTCAAGGATGGAGAAACATAGGAGGTAATCATGTGACAGGCAACAAGGAGCGTCCTGAGACTGTGGGGCTGCCGGCTTTGTCTCCACTCCACCATGTTGCCCTTTCTAGTTTCCTACCCAAGGCTGAGGAGTCAGGTCTCATGAACTCCATTGCCATCTCCTGTGCCAGGGCCATGTCTGTGGACAGAGCCTCCAGCCAGCAAAGCGCTGATGAG